TATATATATATATATATATGAAAAAAAACTCTATATTTTTACTTATAAATTTGTCATCCTAAAAATTAAGACTGATTCCGCCATTGGAAATAGCGTACTTACTTTTAAAATTTGGCCAATTGTGAATATTTTTATAATCTACAAACCTTCTGTTTAATATTAAAAAAATTCAAAAAAATATATATATATTGGAAAAATTGTTGACGGGCAATCGAAAGATTCTCGAGTTGTTCAGCACGTGCACCTGTCCCCCGCCAGCCAGCCCTCATGGCTGACCAATCTAGCGTAAAAGCCAGTGGGGCCCAGAAGTCGGCTTCCTAACGCCTTCCTCACTCGAATACCGACTCTAGGTTTCCCACTTTCTTTGAACTGTGAAATTCCTTACGGTCTGGTGTTCTCCACTCATCACCTTAGCCTAACGTTCTCCACACCCTCCAGTGTCTCAAGCATCAGTATTTTTTATTTAAAAAAAAACTTTAATTACTATTAAACGGCTAGTAACAAAGTGTTTTATGATTAAAGATCAAAAACAACACGAAGATTTTATTTGAAATAATTTTTTTATTAATTCTTAAAATAACTTTTAAGCATAAAAAATAAAAAAATTTAACTAAAAATTTTTTTTAGTCCCAAACAAAACCAACATCAACAAGATATACTGGTTATTAAAAAGATATTAAAATCTAATATTTATCATTTATCATTCTAAAAAAATTAATGATGATTAATTGAGTTTAAGGCTTCCTTTGTGGCAAATTTCTTGATGGTTTCTAAAAAAATATTTTAATAATTTTTTAACATAAAAAAATACTTAAATACTATTTCAAAGGAAACCTAAATTTGAAGTTAATGTAAGTGTCATGTGTTAGCTACTTCAAAAAAAAAAAAGTGTTAGCTACTTATGCATCACATTGTAGCTCTAATAGTTACAGAGAGGAGAAATTATGTTGTGCGGATGCCGGACTATTCGAAAAGCAACCAGAATGCGTAATGTTATTCAGTACATAGTAGTCTCAAGCATTGATAAAGAGCAAAAAAGTGATGTAACGTGTTCTGATTGATCTCTAAACACCGTCTGGTATATGCACAAAATAACTTTTCGATCAGAGAGAATTGTTTTCAACTTAAGTTAAGAGTCAGTATTTGTGGGCTGAAATTGTAGGGGCCACCGATCAATAAAATGAGTTGTTTATTTTTTATTAATTTCATTCGGTTTTAGCTAAAAATGGCTAAATTCAAATTTATATTTTTTAGGAATTCTTTTTACATGAAAATTTGGACAAACGCTTTATATTACTCACACAAACCGGCGCTTGTCCTCTACACTGCCTCGTACGTAACTACATCTCTCTCTCTCTCTCTCTCTCTCTCTCTCTCTTTGAGATCCATGGCCATGAATCTCTTAAAGAATAGCGGCTTCAGCTACTCAAGGCTGGAGAAAAAGGACACAGAGGAATTTCAGCACAGAAAGGTACAGTTTCGCATCTACAAAGTCCTTGAGAAGGAAGAGTGCCAGCAGAGGAAGAGGACACAGACGCGGCTGGTTGTTTCAAAGCTTAGGACAAAGCTTGGTATGAGGCTCCGGAGGATGAGGAAGAAAATCCTCTGCTTCATACTTTGTTTACGTTTGTGTAAGTCAAGCTCATGCGGCAACTCAGATTCCAAAGCTCGTTGCATAAACTGAGACTGAGGAGCAGGTGAAATGATTCTCTGTGGTCCAGAGATCAATCAGAATGTGCCATGTCATTCTTATTCGGTAGTGTGGCTCGGTATCATTGATGTGACGCATTATGATTGACCTCCGGACCATGAACTGCGTCCGCACAGAATAATCTCTTGAGGAGAAGACCCTTGGCTTCTCCTTTAACAGCATATTTGTTTGATTTGTGGAAAAAAGAACGGTAGCTTTACAGTTTGAGTTTAATTTGTAGTAAAGAAAGAGAAAAGGGATGAGTTTTTTTTAGAGAAAATTGAGTCAGGATGTTGTAATAAAATTTGATTTTGATCTTGATGGATTTCATATTTGTTAAATTTATTTTAAGAAGAATATAATATATTAAAAATAATAAATTTTTGTATTACATTCATCTCAAAATAAATATAATATTTTGAATTTCTTAATTTTTTGAATAAGGAAATCATATATCTCATTATTTTAAAGAGAAAATATCATACTGAAAAATTCATAGCAATGAGATAGCTTAATGTCTTAAAATTGTACAAAATTTTGTATACACAAAAATTTTGTAAGAAGTCGCATGAATTTTTAGATTTAAATATGGCACTATGATTTAGCGGCACGGCTCTAAATAAGCTCTCATATTTGGGAGATATGTGTCCAGCACTTCGATGTTAGTACACTGAAATGATTTTTTTTAATCTCTCATAGAAAGTGAGTTTCGGACTTTTATTTTCGGATGCTCAAGTTACTAAAATTCGTCTAATCGTTATTGTATGTGACTTTTATCGAATGAATCTTTTTAATAATTTTAAAATTTACAAGTTTATCTTTTCTAAATTTGAATAAAATGCATTATTTTCCATTTAAAGGGTTTTCATCATGTATGTTTTGATATATGGTAGAAATGATGATTTTGAGCAAGTCAATATGATTAAATTGAATTTTCACTGAATAATTTGGCATGTATGATTTTTTTGTATAAAAAAACTGGTAAAAGACACATATGAAATGAGTACAACAAGTAATAAGCATTTATGAATAGGAAATGCATTATATGTATATATGTTCACAAGCACTAAATTACAAGATGTGCGTAGTAGTTACATGTGCTTAATCTAGCATATATCTTAACATAATAAGGATAAAACATGCATACATGTTACATAGTTATTATAATTTGTGCTTTATATTATGTCGCATATGTCATCATTTACATTTGAGATGAGTACTGAATATGTGACACTTGTAAGTTGTAAAGTCAATAGACCATTCAACTCATTGTGATCCTACAATATTCAAGGTAATCCGCTAAATTTCTGCATTTGAATTTTTCTGCATGTGTTTGGGAATATTATGAGTGCATGTGAGAGTCTGCAAGTGATTTGAAATGAGTCTCAGGGGTTTGTTTGCATGTTTCTAAAAGACTAAATTTTATCCTGGGGCGACGCGGCGTTGGGATTGGCAGCACTCTAGTACCGGATCTCTCGGGAAATTTGAAAAAAAAAAAAAAAATTCAACGCAGAGGCGTTGTGGGCTCTATGAGGAGCATTGTCTCGAGCATTGCGGGGCACCACAACGGTAGGCTAAACTTTAATAATAAAAATATCTAAATAATTATTGATGTCATTTCATTCTCCTAAGGGTTTAAATTCTAGCTAGAGAGAGAGAGAGAGAGAGAGAGGAATTTCTAAAGAGAGAAATTTCATTTCGAGCCACTTCATGATCATTTTCAACTAACAATCCAATTCTGAAAGTTGTCCATCTTGAACTAGGTTAGCTTCTGGTTATATGTATTTTTTAAAAAAATGACGATTTTGACATTTTTTTAATTAAAAAAGTACATTTCTAATGTTTAAACTATGAAAACTTTTAACCGGAAAAACTTTTGCCGTCTAACTTCTTATATGTTATAGATAACGTAGTTATGAACATTTAAGTATTTTTCTGTAAAATTTTGTCGGGTATTTTTGAAATGCTATTTTTCTAAAGCTATAGGAAAATATTTAAGCACTAAAAAATAATACAGTTGTAAAACATTTAAACCTCTAAAAATTTGAATTATGGTATTTTTCTTTTTTGAATTATTTTGTAGTCATGATTGTTAAAAAAATTATGATGTTTGGAAGAACTTCATGACTAGTTTACATGATTCTTTTTTAGTTATGATATCTATGTGCATATTTGATGATAAGTAAGTCGTATGTTTATGTTGTTTTTTTTATATTATTATTATTGTTTTATGATTGCTAAATGATAATAGTAGATCCGATAAAATATTAGAAGACAAAAGATGCAATTTTTTCAATTAGGACTTGGGCGAGATTTTGTGTTCACCTCCAATCCAGGTTAACACATGTTACTATTATGGGTTATGTTGGGTTGAAACATGATAATATATTCTCCAAATAAGAGAGGTGACCATATAATGAATATGACAAATGTCGGATGTTGATAGATATAATAACTAGACAAATGTTTAGATGTTGATTGTTGGAAGTTGTTAGGCAAAATAAATTGGGAACATCATAAGGCGTGTGACAATTGATGAGGAACATAAAATGTCAAATAATTGTAAGTAATCATGTTGGTTATTTTTCAAAAAAGAGGGAAGACCAAGCAACCATGCAAAAAATAAGCATCAACCATTATGGTTTGTGGATATTAGATTTGGATTGATGGTTGGTATTGGATGACAATTAAATATGAATGTTGTAAACTAGTTGAGGGTGACAAAATGACTTTGACCATTTTATTTATATGAAGTGAGATTCAATGACTAACAATTTTGACTCTTTAAAATTTTATTATTTAATAGTTCATGAACTTCAAATGTCAGTCTCAACGGTAATCATTATGAATTAATAACTAGCGTCAATACATCGCAATTTTTAATAGATGATTGGAGGTGAGTTATAATATGTTGTGTCAACATACATATATCATTAGTTAACAACTATTGGTTGGTGCTGAGGGTCATTAATATCAGTCAGTAATTGGCATCAAGTGTTGGGTGACTATAAATGTGGGTAATGAAAACCATTAGTGTTAATCGATAACTTAATTAGAACTTGGCTCAAATATGGTTAGAACCAAATTAACTTAAACTCAGGTTCAAACCTTTGCTTAAATTTCAATCGTTTGAAACTCATTACTGAAAGCATCATAGGGTGGAATGTTGGGGAAGAAATCATAGAGCCTCCATCGTTCAAACCTCACAAGGGAAGGCATAAAGTAGATCGTTGAGGAAGGCATCACACGATGAAGCTTGCTAGAGAAGACATTGTGGGATTGGTGGTACGTGATGGAACCTATTGAGAAAGGCAATGATGGAAACGTCTGCATGTGTGGAAAAGAGCAATTCACACGACTTGGTTGGAGATGGCAATGCAAGTCTGTGTTGTGTGACGAATCTCTTTAAAAAGATAAAGATAAAACTCAGAGTGTGCATGGAGAAGAGAAGTTTTGATGTAGTGGATCGTCAGAAGACTCGACCTGCAAGAAGGATTTCCGTTTCCCAATCCAGGGAAGAAGAAGAAAAGCAAGCTCAAAGGCTTCAAAGAGTGTAATATCATTCAATGCCTTTTCTTCTACAAGACCTCCTACTTATAAGACCAAAAGAGCATTCTAGAAGGAAATAACAACACTTAAGAAAGGCACGTAGGATTGACAAAAGTTCCCATGATGGAGTTCAAACAAATGTTTTGACCATGGTTCATTCGAGCTTGGTTCAAACATGTTCAAATTCGAATCAATTTCTTTCGTGATAAGCTTCAATAAGCAATCTAGAGAGTTTACTTCATCCAAAATAAACGAGAGGCATATTTCCATAAAAATATAAACAGTACTGATATTTCACCTATTTCTCTCAAGAAAATTGCATATTGTTTCCATGAAAATTTTTGTATTAAATTTCATTATGAAAATTTAATTATGATAAACTTTACAATTATTAAATTTACATTAAGATAAAATAATATATGTACAATCAATAAAAATTTATTATTGATACATCATCATGAAATAATCTTGATCGGGCATGAATCTCGAGGAAAAAATCAACCCGGAAATTTCAAAAATTAAATCCGGAAGCACTGGAACTCCGATTTCAGAGAGCTTACAGTCAAACTGAGCGTCTCGGAAATACGAACCCAACGACACCAAATTAAACCCAATCCGAGCCCAAATGGGTCCAAATCAAGGACCCGAAGTGCTTCTGGAAGGTTTGAATCACAATTTTAGTTACCAAACGGTCTCCGATTTTAACGAGCTTATACTCGAATCGAACGGCTTGGCGAGACGAATCCAACGAGCCCAAGATCCCTGAATTCCGACATCACTAAGGCCTTCGAATGTCCAATAAACGGTGCACGATCGAAGGGTTCAACATCAACCGTCCATTCGACCACTCTCTATTCGCCCCTGATCTCACACCTATTTACAAGTCATGCCACTCCAGAAAAACTATAAATAGAGCCATCATTTTTCACAAGAGGACTCAAGTGAGAAGAGAGAGAAGAAGCGAAGAGAAGAAGGGGAAAGGGAGAATCATCTCCTCCTCGACCACCGCCGGAGTTTTTTCCGCCGCCTGAATACGCCGGAACTCTGCCGGATTTTCGGGAGACGCCTGAATTCTGCAGAATTTTGTAAATTTGTTTCAAGTTAGAAGAAACGGATTGTAATCTGATCGTCCTGACTTGTAGGACGAATCAACTTCTTGTAATTTACAAAACACTAGTGGAACTTTTCAACTGGACGTGGCCCCGTGGTTTTTTCCCTCTTTCGGGTTTTCCACGTAAAAATCCTGGTATTCATTTTCTTTTCTGTTTGTGTGCTGAATATTCGTGCAACGCTCAGACGTGAATTTGTAAACTCTACCGCCGCGTATATTCTAGCCCGCAACAATTATAAATCCTTCTCAAATTAAAGCAATTAAATTTTTAATTCATCATGATTAAACAATTTAGTAAGATGTATTTACCTAATTCTATATTTTTCTATTTTTAATTAAAAAAGTCTTATTTGATCACTTTAAATAAATATAAATTTTATTTTGTATTTCATACTGCTCTAAAAATAAATTTCAAAATTTTAAAACTCAATTTTTATTTTATTATTATGTTTTTAATATGAATATCTTAACATAAACTTTTACGTCTTCTAATCTTTAGCCTGGATGTTGAGAATCAACAGTGTAATGATGTGTATTGAAAACGTTTGAATATGAATGCTTCAAAATATTATTATTTTAGTATTATTAAGCTTGATGCCTGCACAACGCAAGTCATGAAAATTTTTTAATCACATTTATTTTTTAAGACATAGTAAGTAAAAAATACAAATGAGAAGGCACTATATGCTGATAATATTATTGCCATCCAAATTTAGAAAATAAAATACATTGATCTTGATTGTTACTCAATTTAGAAAATCTTAGATACTCTAACACCACTACAAGTAGCCCTAATTATACTTAATGAGTGACAGATGATTTAGATACTCTAACACCCAAAAAATTTCTTATCCCTCTTTTTCTTCTTTTTCGTCGTGCACTAATGGACCCCATGTAGGCCTCATTTAAGGGGCGAATTATTATCCAGATGCGCCACGTCACCCAAATACACTGGGACCTAGTATATTTTGGTGATGTGACGCATCTGGATTGGTGTCCGGACGAATCCGGACACCGTACGTAATAATTTGCCCATTTAAGGAGCTTCCACACAACTTCTTCAGATCCCCCGCACGCCGTTTGGACTCATTGATGGCTTTGCTACAAGTTCCCATACAATTTCTTCGCTTCATAGTTGTTAATGACTTGAACAATTTTGATAGACGCAAGATATGGGGAGAGCAAGTAAAAACTTTGGGAGATCGAGATAAGAGAGCAAGTATACAAGCAAGCGATTTATGTTTCGTTCGGGACGACTTTTTATTACTTCTTAAAACAGTTTTCTAGTGCAAATAATTAATTTTTGTACTTAAAAGCTGCTTTTAGAAGTAAAAAAAATCACCTCAAACGGAAGCCTTAGGCAATTTTGTTACTGTTTTTTAAAGCAATTTTTGTAGCATGATTTTTTTTTTTATAAAACTATTTTTAAAAATAGTAAGAATGATGTTCCAAGCTAAGCCTTAGGGCAAAAAGAGTATCTCTGAAGAGGAATGAGATTGATGTTGAATGATAATAGAATTAGCAACTCCGTGACAGACTGTTGATGAGGTGATTGGTTGATAGGTTGATGGGATTGTAATAGGTGGTCTTATTTTTAATTTTATTTTGATAGTTTAAGTATTATATCACTACTTTACAAAGTTCTATATGTGGTGCTGGTTGGGTAACCATTGCATACCCATGCTTTACTCGGACGGGCTTCGCCCATCCATGGTGACTTTCGGGATGTCATAGCCACCTATACCCACCCACTTTCCATACTGTTTGAACACAGTTTGTCATGAATTGATGGCCTTGAGGTTTGTTGTCCTTTGCTCTGATTGTAAACTTTCAAACAACATATCAGAATTTATCGTAGTCGCAATATGATTAAGTGTTGCACACTACGTAGTGAGGATTACAGTAATATAAGATATATGATGATTAATAATATAAATCGATTTATTCATTGATATAGAGTACCCACCCATAAGGTCATGGGTGTATCAATAGGTACCCATATCCAATAGGTACCCATACCCAATAGGTATACCTATTGGGTATGGGTGGGTACATAGATGGGTGTGGGTATGGATATCTAATGTAGTGCTCTGCTACTCTAAGTATAAATAATAAATTTTAAATATTAAATATACGAATTTTAATATTTAGGTTATGTGCATGTAAAACCCCTAAAATTTTACATATTATTCAAAAGCTATTTCATGACTATTTTTAATTGGCCCCTGCTGCTTTATGAGATCGAGAAGTGCGAAGAACGGAGGACAAAATTTTAATGGAGGTGATGCGCCACGCTTCAACCTTCCTCCTCCCCTCATCATCAGAAGCCACAGACGATCTCCCCTCGTCTGTGCATGCCCTCATTATCCTTAACCAGCGACTCCCTGGCCTTGCTCCTCTCCTTTGGGAACGAGGTATTCCTCCTCCTTTCTTTGACTTTCCCTCTTGGTTTTCTATACCTTTTTTTTGCTTTTATTTCGATTTTTTTAGTACTGGAGCTCTGGACTGTGATTGCTATGTGGAACAGCAAAGCTGAGGGTTTGCGCGGATGGAGGGGCAAACAGACTTTTTGATGGAATGCCGGAGTTTTTTCCCGATGAAGATCCCGGGGAAGTTAGGCGCAGGTTTGTTATTATTATTATTATTATTGAATAATTAAGGTAGGGGTGGAAATCCTCTAGTGTCAGTTATGTGGTGTTGTGAATTTAAATCTTTAAGCGAGTATTGGGTTTTTCATATAACTCAAGATGGACATTCATGAAATGACTAATAGTCCTGATTAAAACAGGTGTGCTGTAGAGTTAAACTTGGTCTTCATTTTTTTTTTTTTGGAGAATTTTTTTAAACAAATTGTAGTTTTTTTTTTTTTGCGTGTGTGTGTAAAAGAATACATGTGATGCGGACATCGGCACGAAAATCTGGCGCATCTATCACAGGAGGCGTCGTAAATCGACGGCTCTGATTTAAGTGTCATTTATGAATTATTTTCTGCATTTTAGTTTCTATTTTATGTTATTTCCTGTTTTACCCCTAGGTTAATTTATTTGAGTGTTGTAGCCCGAGGGGCAATTTTGTTATTTTTATTTTCTCATGTTTTGGCCTATATATATGGCCTTTATCTATTGTAATAGGATGGCTAATTTGATATGAAAATTTTGTGTTCCACACTTTGTTCTTGGGAGAGAATGAGAGTGAGATTCCTATGAGAAGGAATCAAAGTTGTCACCAGCCGCAGGATGGGTCCGGGCTCGTGATTCCCTAGCTCATTAACTCAAAACTTTCCCTCCACAAATCCCTCATTTCAAATTCAAAACATTTTGAATTTTGAAATCTTTCCTAAATTAGCAAATCTATTTTAGGAAAGTTTCTTAAGTTAACAACATTTGAATTCAAATTCAAATAGAGTTACTTAAATAATTTCCTAAGTTTAAAACCATTTTAAGCAAGTTTGGACACATGGCACTCAAAACCCCATCCACCTGATAATGCAGCCGGCCCCTCTTCCCTAGCCCTTCAATACTCAATTAAGTATTGCCTAAATCTAAACCCAGCCTTTAGGAAAGAATTTCAAATCCTTATGTCCCTATTGGCTGAAATTTTTCCTAATAACTAAGCTCTAATTTATGTCCAGAAATCAGAGCTTGAATTTAGGAAATAGATTATTTCCTCCCTAATTTCCTCCCAGCTTCACGTCAGGCCTTCTCCCCACTTTGGTCATAGCCAAATTCCCTGAGCTTTATTTCCAATTTTTATTTCCCAAATCAAGTCTTTGATTTGGAAAATAAAAATTCCTTAACCCACCCTATCATCCCGCGTTCCCTCTCCATATTAACTTGCCTCCCAGTTGCTGTTTTACCCACAGCAAATTGCTGTCCAAGCTTTCCCAAGCAATTGTAGGTGGCTAGCCAGAATTTTTCAAGTACTAAAGCTGCTATCTAGCAATCTTGGCAATCTCCAAATGCTATCCCGCTGTCTCCAAATTACAGATTGCTGTCCAGCTGCATCCAGAGAGCTCGTGGTGGCTGTCTGCTTCCTCTCAAACAACTAAATTATCACCGGAGCTAGAGAGCCTGATTTTTCCCTGAACAGGGTTGCTGTCCCGTATTCTGGAGGCTGTTAAACTGCTGTCCAGCAGTTTTTCTGCAATCACAAACCAGCTGGCTAGTCCCGAAATTCGACCCATTACTGTCCAGGCTTTTCTGGACATTATTGGATTGCTGTCCAGGGATTTCCAACAAGAAGAGTTTCTGTCCAAGACTTTTGAGAACCCAAAAGCTGCTGTTTAGACTTATGTATTTGCTCTTTAAGACCCATAGGATTCAATCCTCCTTCCCGTTCTACATCAACATGGCTAAAATTGTTTTAACAAAGATTAAAGTTCGCTGTATTTTGCAATCATGACACTTAAGATAGAAAAATCCAAACATTGATGCCTGGTTTTCTTGCAAAGTAGGAATTAAACCTAGGTTTGCCCTACCCAAGTGCTACTAGCTGGCTTGTAATCTTGCTAGATATATGGCAGCCCTAGTATTACTTCCTGGGTCTTCTGCAACCCTTTCCCTCGTTTTTTTAGTAACAGAAGCAATGATGGTTAGCCTTATGGCAACCCAAGCATTAACGCTTTGGTTGTAAATTGTAATGCTGTTGGGGGATTTAAGCAACCTAGGCTTATATGCCTCAATTTTTGGGGGCAACCCTAAGTTTTATCTTGACTAAAAAATGACAAATGTCTCATTGAGTTTGTGTGAATTTATGAAGAAGATGGTCTTGGAGGTGTGAATTTATGAAGAAAAGGATAAAGAAATTAAAGATAATTAGTCAATAATTTAAACTAAGTTTCTTTAATTATTAATGTTTTAAAACTAATTGAGTATTTTTATGAAATTATAAAAGTAAAATGTGGTCTTTTTGGAAGAAAAGAGCAAACTATTGATAGTTTTCTTTTTTTAGGTCTATATTTGATATCTAAGGCATAATTGATATGCATTTCTAGATGGCAATATTTATGCTCAATCATACTAATCTTTTTTCAATGTTTGCTTTTATCATCTTATGTTAATTTGTGTTAGTGAGGTAGTAACTTATTATTTAAAACTAATATGTAAATCGATCCTGCATCTGAAAGTTTGGTTGTTGTCATACCCACCTGCTAAGGAGTAGGCCCCATTTTAGAACATTATTATGGCTATCACAATTTATTTACTGAAGAAAAAAGGGTGGATTCTTCTTATGATTTTATTATTGTAATTTGATGAGTCTACTAGAGTTATTACATACCTGAGTATATCATATAAATTTGCAATATTATTAATTTTGCCTATTTTGCTTCCATTATTCAATAATCACATTATTTTGCTTATCTTTTATAATATTGAAAGAAGCTTTGAACATCTTTTTTTTTTCTTTCACTTGTGTAGGTACAAGCCAGATTTAGTTAACGGTGATATGGATTCAATAAGAGCGGAAGTGAAGGATTACTATTCTGATTTGGTATGATATATTATTCGATGACTTGTGTTTTGTAGTTTTTTCCTTTGTGTTGTTCTTGTTGTAAATTATATCTTATTTTTGTTTGAGATATCTCTTTGTTCCATTAGATTTTCTTGTTGAACGTCATACATGAAGGTTCCCATGTGTTACTAATGTTAAATCTTAATCCTGACGATTAACTGCTTTCCTTTTATGGCTTGCTGAGGCTCATTGACCGCCATGGTGCATTTTTCATATTATGAATTTTTTTTTTGTTCACATATATCCTTAGGTTGTAACGTTGTTGTCATCAATAGACTGATTAGACATTAAAAAAACTCTGTTTTTCAAATAAGAATCATCTAAATAGCCCATAAAATGCCTCTTTTGAAGCCCATAATTTTTTATTATGGCTTTCATTATTATGTATGTTGGGTGGGTGGGTGCGGGCATGCACTCTTAGTAAAGTATGAATGCAACGTATGTGCAGGATTCATTATCTTTGCTGCACTTAAGGCATTTCTGAGGCACTTTTCTCTCTCCCATTGTAGCATGAATTGGTGAAAGTTCTACATAAACCGCACGACATAAACCAAGAATATTAAGGGACAATACAACAAAATAAATAATAATGGAAACATAGAAGGTTGCAGCCTAGATAACAAGACATTTAACACCGACTGTGAACTGATATTGTAGTGGCTTAAAATCGAATTGAACTATTAACGTCTAGCTCGAAATTGATTCATGACTTGATTATTGAGCTGAGTAGGTTAGAATTTGGTTAAGTCCCTAGAGCCAATTGCCAGCCAACTCGAAATCCCTGAAACTGAAATTGAAAAAACTATTTATGTTATTATTTTACCCAACCATCCCTAAATTTATAATACAGTAATTGTAATTTAAGGTATTGAATACACATCCTAATAATACAAAGTTAATTACAGATTCAAAGTTGGATTAAAAAAAAATCAATCCATCATGTTTATTCAGAAATGAAATAAAACTTGCAATTAACTTTTTTAAGTTATGGTGACACAAGTTATAACTGTAAATGAAATGGTGAACTTTCATTGATTTAGTTCTCAAATGCAACTTTGAGACTAACTTTATGCGTTAAGAAAACTACATTGATCTTCCTAGAAAGATCTCACAACCCAATATCATTTGACTTTACTAACCAAGCATACATCAGTTGAAGCTCATTAACATAGATCATTATTATACAGTATTGCAAGAGGGATTTCAGTGATGACTATTATTTTTTATATTTAACAAATTATCAAATAGAAGTACATTAATAGGAAAATAATTTTTTAGCAAACACAATAACCAGCAGCTTTTTCTAGTAGAACTGATTCTGAGGACAGAAAAAACTGGCTCAGTAAAACATTTTACAAAACGATGATGTCAATTTTATTTAATGTATCAATAATTTTGGGAAATATTTTATTAGGCTGGCTCGTGATATGCATTATATACAATTTTGTTGGATAGAGTAATGTGCAGCACTGTGAACATAATGTAAATCATTTTATTACAACCGATTAGCTTTCCATGTGGGAAATATTTTTAAGCAACTCGCACATACTCATGTGCATTCTTCAACTATTATTATGGTCAAGTTTCTTGAATTATATAGATACGTTGCAACTTTCTCTATCATGATAAACTGTGAAAATTCTAGTGGAATCGTTGAAAGAAGTCTTTTTTTCCCTCCAGAAGGGTTATTGATGGAAAATTTTAATGGGCAATCTCCTATCTTTGTCTGTGAAATTGGACATTTTGGCCAAAGATTGTTATTTATTGGAGGAAGTCAATCTCCCACCAACCACAGGAAGCGTTCGGGTTCGTGGTTGACCATCTCTTTTCCCTTCCTTCACTCCCTCTCTACAAACCGCCGGTTATATCTCCATCCCTACCTCTCTCGGTTGAATCCCACCACCAACATAACCCCAAACGGCCACCCCATCTCCCACCTCCAAGCTGCCGGCCTCCCTCTCTTCCCCACCTAACCCGCCGGCCCTAAGTCGAATTCACCTCCCCGCACCCATCTAACCCTAAATTCCTTCCCCTCCCCTTAACCGTCGGCTTCCCTTGCCCAAGACCTAGCCGCTGGCACACCTACCCCTCCTTTAGATCCAAATTTTCATCACATTCATTACTTTCCTAAATTGATCACGGTAAATTTGGAAAGAGAATTAATTCGATTTTGAATCAATTTCAAATTTGAATTCTTTTCTAATTTAGCCTAAGTTATATTTGGAAAGTTTCTAAATAAAGTAAATTTATATTTGAATTTAAATTAAAAGAGATATGAGCAATAAATCTCCTTTAATTTAATTGACTTTATTTAGGAAACCATTTGAAATCCTTTCTAACTCCCCCCTCCCTCCTATAGCCGCCTTCCCTACCTCTCTCCTCTCATTAATTCTTCTCTCTCATTAATCCCCAACTTAACACAATATACTCATAACCCAATACTATATTTATGTCACTGTGTAGCAACTACAAAGCTCGACGACCTCTCATAAGCAACAACAATGTAGAAATTCTCATAAGATATCATGGCGCAAACAATCACTTTTGTAAAGTAAACTTTGCTCCAAACGAGTCCACACATGTATTAACACAACAATCCAAAAGGCACTTATTGACGAAACTCAATATAACCACCAATTACTATTCATATAAAACTTTGAATCCAAAACTCAATGTGGTACTCTATGTGTGTATTCATATGCAAGGTCATGAATTATGATCGAAAGAATACAAATTCATATCCAAATTTTATGTTTCATGAAAGGGTATAAAGAAAATATTTTGTTCTATTCCACTTTCCTTTTGCAAATGTAGATAAAACAATGCATGAGTGTAACCTCCAATAGTTTCCACTTTAATTTGGATCTATACCATTCCTCTCAGAAACATCAGCAGAATTAGAAACAAATCCATGTTGCCAAGTATTAGGAATTTTTCTTAGGGGAAGAAACATATAGCTCTAACTACCAAATCTTCTCATGAATCAAGGTATTTATCAATCTTGCAAGGGAAATAGGCCCAGAACATAGGCTCCTTTTGATAAAAACCATAATAAAACTTTGCCGGAGATGCTCATGTTAACGAAATCACAAAGGGAGCAATACACTAAACCACATGAAGCACATGCCAAAATCTTGCAAAGACCCCAGATCTCTCTCCGAACAACCCAAAGTATCTTTCAACTTCTCTAAATACTCACAACTTAATATCAATAGTGCATGATTTCTCTCAAAATTGACACATGACACAATGCATATAATTACTTCTCAACAAGAATTCAGAACTAGCATCATATTATGGGATAGAAGAAAAACAGCCTTGTTTTGTTAGGATAACCAAATCTCTTCCATGAAGCATTCTCTAACTTCTCATCAGAGTGGCATTAACATGAGGACTTTGTCAAAAGGAGGATGTAAGGTAGTCTATATTTTTTATTAAATATTAACCATGATAGCGATAATGATTACTTACTTAAAATATAACATATAAATTTGTTCACAAATGTTCTACGTCACCTCATGTTCTATGGCATTTGTGAGAACAAGGGTAAACACAATGAAACCTTATCGACTTCAAGAAAGAAATTTTAGCTGCATCTTTTTCTTTGAATTTTCATGAAGATGAAAAAGTAACTAACATTTGATAACATCACCCTAATTTGAGAAGAAAGAAATCAAATATGCAATCACTGTTACAATCTTAGCAAAAGGAACCCAAGGAAGGATCAGGTTCTTGCTTATCTTAATAAAGAGGGCTCACAATATCTATCATTCACGATATCAGGGAAGATAAAAAAAAAAGGAATAAATTTAATACAAAGGGTCCTTCATAAACTTCAAATCAGATCTATCATGGCTTCTTGCTAGGCTTTGGGAAAGAAAAGCAACCCTTCTCAAGAGAAAGCCAAAAAAAAAGAAGTTAAGGCTATTTTAATCCACAAGACAAAACTCATTTCAGATTTCAGATAATCACAGAAACTCAAACCATTCATCAACCCTAGTCATCTAGCTCAAAACAAAGAAAATGATGAAGATAGGGTAAGAAGGTAGTGAAAGAAATAGAAGAAATTAGTGAACGAATAGAAGATGGAGGGAAAATAGAAGAAGAGGAAGAAAGAGGGAAGAAATTACCTGCCCTAAAGAAGAGGGATGAGGTTCGGTTGAGGCCGAAGAATCGTGCGAATCCGGCGTCGGGTTCGGTCCATATGAACAGCAACGACGAAAAAGAGAGGGAGCTTCGGGTCCGGCTACCAAGAGGAGCGTCAGGCATGCGAATGCAGAGGAAGTCGGGAGGCTTCGGCTTCATCGTCCGTCGCGCGAACCAGAGAGATCGGGAGAGGGCTTCAGGTCTGGAGTTGAAGGCGTGCGAATTGGAAGGCCGGACGGGGCTTCTCCGAACCAGAGCGACGGGAGAGAGAGAGAGCTCGGGGCTAGGGAAATCACGACCTGGCTTCGGACGGAAGCGAGGCGGCATTTTGGCTTTTCTCCTAGGCTTCATGAACAGCGTCCAAAGGGGGAGAGAGAGCTCGCGCTTGAGGCTTGCGAACTAGAAGAAACAGGGAGGGGGCTTCGGCCTTCCCTGTCTTCGCGAACGAAGGAACAAAAAGGGGGGGCTCGGGGCGTCTGCGAACAGAGAGGGAAACGGGAGAGAGAGCTCTTCCCCTCTCCCCCTTACTAGAACCCCGAGAGAGAAAATGGGGAGCGCCGCCTCAGAGCGGGGGATTGGGCGTGAGATGGAGCCTTTTTGGCCTCGGTTAGGGCACTAGAAGAAGAGCAGGGAGATCGGGGCCGTCGGATCAAGGGCCTGATCTAGAAAATAGTTCAAATTTCTTTAAAAGCAAATTGGCACTAAGCCAAAACTAATTGGGTTAATCCATGTCAAACTTGGGTTTAAAATTGAACTCAATTCGATTCAAATCAGGCGATGCGGGTTGATTACACTAATTTAATAGCAATAAAACTCAAATTGATGTCGATTCGAATTGAATCGAGCTCGACGAGACTCGATCAACTCGCTCGAACATGCTCGAGGGAAAATCAAGACAAAAATGAGGTCAACAAACCCTAAGTTTTATCTTGATCAAAAAAATAAAATATTAAAAAAAATGAAAGATGTCTCATTGAGTTATTGTGGCTCCTACGTTGCTCAAGTTCATTTCAGTGCTCTCACAAGATTATCAATGAGATGATGTTGGAGGTGTGAATTTCTAAAGAAGATGGAACCAAAAATGGGGAATTTACATACATACAATTTTATTTCTTGCTATTCACATATCTAACACTTGAAATATTAATATTACATGTCTTTCATCCATATACATCTTTAATATCAAATATAACACTCCTATATTTCATTCTTACCACTCATACCACCCTATAAATTTTAATATTTCATTCCATGTACCCATATTTGTTCTATGGTGGTAGGCATGTAATATTAATGTTTTAGGTGTTAGATATGTAATAGCATGAAATAAAGTGTTATGTATGTAAATCCCTCAAAATTAAAGATAATTAGTCAATAATTAAATTAAGTTTCTTTAATTATTAATGTTTTAAAACTAATGAGTATTTTTATGAAATTATAAAAATAAAATGTGGTCTTTTTGGAAGAAAAGAGCAAACTATAGGTAGTTTTCTTTTTTTTAGGTCTATGTTTGATATCTAAAATACAATTGATATGCATTTGTAGGTGGCAATATTTATGCTCAATCATACTGATCTTTTTTCAATGCTTGCTTTTGTCATCTTACTGTGTTAGTGAGGTAGTAACTTATTATTTAAAACTAATATATAAATCCATCGTGCATCTAAAAGTTTGGTTTTTATCATACCCACCAGCTAAGCACCATTTTAGAACATTATTATTGGTATCACAATTTATTTACTCGAGAAAAGGGTGGATCCTTCTTATGCTTTTATTATAGTGATTCGATGGCTGTTCTAGAGTTATTACATTACTGAGTATATCATCTAAATTTGCAATATTATTAATTTTGCCTATTTTGCTTCCATTATTCAATAATCAAATTACTTATTTTTTATAATATAGAAAGCAGCTTTGAACATCTTTTTTTTTTTCTCTTTCACTTGTGATAGGTACAAGCCAGATTTAGTTAATGGTGATATGGATTCAATAAGAGCGGAAGTGAAGGATTACTATTCTGATTTGGTATGATATATTATTCGATGACTTATGTTTTGTAGTTTTTTCCTTTGTGTTGTTCTTGTTGTAAATTATATCTTACTTTCGTTTGAGATATCTCTTTGTTCCTTTAGTTTAGATTTTCTTGTTGAACGTCATACATGAAGGTTCCCATGTGCAACTAATGTTAAATCTTAATCCTGGTGATTAACTGCTTACCTTTTATGGCTTGTTTAGGTTCATTGACCTCTATGGTGCATTTTTAATATTATGAATTTTTATTTTTTTGGTTCACATATATCCTTAGGTTGTAACGTTGTTGTCATTAAAAGACTGATTAGACATTCAAAAAACTCTAATTTTCAAATAAGAATGATCTAAATAGCCCATAAAATGCCTCTTCTGAAGCCCATAATTTTTTATTATGGCTTTCATTATTATGCATGCTGGGGGGATGGGTGCGCGCATGTACTCTTATTAAAGTATGAATGCAACTTATGTGCAGGATTCATCATCTTTGCTGCACTTAAGGCATTTTGAGGCACTTTTCTCTCTCGCATTGTAGCATGAATTGTTGAAAGTTCTACATAAACTGCACGACTTAATCCCAGAATATTAAAGGAAAATACAACAAAATAAATAATAAAGGAAGCATAGAAGGTTGCAGCCTAGATAAGAAGACATTTAACACCGATCATGAACTGATATTGTAGTGGCTTAAAATCGAATTGAACTATCAACGCCTAGCATGAAATTGATTCATGACTTGATTTTGAGCTGAATAGGTTAGAATTTGGTTAAGTCCCTAGAGCCCATTTCAAGCCAGCTCGAAATCCCCAAAATTGAAATTGAAAAAACTAGATATGTTATTATTTTACCCAACCATCCCTAAATTTATAATACAGTAATTGCAATTTAAGGTATAGAATATGCATCCTAATAATACAAAGTTAATTACAAATCCAATGTTGGATTAAAAAAAATCAACCCATCATGTTTATTCAGAAATGAAATAAAACATGCAATTAAATTTTTTAAGTAATGTTGACACAAGTTATAACTGTAAATGAAATGGTGAACAGCCATTGATTTAGTTCTCAAATGCAACTTTGAGAATAACTTTATGCGTGAAGAAAACTACATTAATCTTCCTAGAAAGATCTCACAACCCAATATCATTTGACTTTACTGACCAAGCATACATCAGTTGAAGCTCATGAACATAGATCATTATTATCCAGTATTGCAAGAGGGTTTTCAGTGATGACTATTATTTTTTATATTTAACAAATTATCAAATAGAAGTACATTAATAGGAAAATAATTTTTTAGCAAACACAATAACAAACAGCTTTTTCTAGTAGAACTGCTTCTGAGGACAGAAAAAACTGGCTCAGTAAAACATTTTACAACACGATGATGCCAATTTTATATAATATATCAATAATTTTGGGAAATATTTTATTAGGCAGGCTCCTGCTATGTATTATATACAATTTTATTGTATAGAGTAATGTGCAACACTGTGAACTTAATGTACATCATTTTATTACAACCGATTAGCTTTCTATGTGGGAAATATTTTAAGTAACTCGGACATAGTCACGTGCATCCGTCAACTATTATTATGGTCAAGTTTCTTAGATTATATAGATATGTTGTAACTTTCTCTATCATGATAAACTGTGAAAGTTCTATTGGAATCGTTGAAAGATGTCTTTTTTTCCCTCCATAAGGGTTATTGATGGAAAATTTTGATGGGCATTCTCCTATATTTGTCTGTGAAATTGGACATTTTGGCCAAAGATTGTTATTTATTGGAGAAAGACTTAGATTTCTTTTGGGGCGGCTTTTTTAATGCTTTGTAAAGCAGCTTTCTAGTACAAAAAATTTTAATTCAAGAAATTTTTGTACTAGAAAACTGCTTTAGAAAGCAGTTTAAAAGTAGCCCCAAACGAAGCCTTAGACTTTTTTTTTTTCATGCAAGAAAAATAGAATTGGCTGATTTTATCTTACGATCATTTCTTACAAATCCTTTGAGGCTTCCCACTTGTACCATTATTTGAGGCATGAGTGGTTTTACTGCTGGTATTTAAGGTGGCAATAGTGGAAACTTGAGAATTGTTGGAGATATTATTTATTATATTGTTTGGGCTTTAATTGTGGATCAATGCCTAATCCAAAGATATTTGTATGTTATCATCAGCATTATGATCGACATTCCCAACTATATGATTGATGGAATGCAATTAATAATTTTTATTGATTGGTATTTGTAGATATTTTTGAAGACCTTCACAATGAATTTCGTGTCCCACATTGTTGGTTTTACATTTAACAAAGTGATATTACCTAACCATAAAAAAAACCATGGTTAGGATTTTCTGAATCCCAGACCATGCGGACCATTGACTTGCAACATTTCAATATATGCTACTTTACATGAATCTTCTTTTACTTGTCTTCAAAATGCAATATTTTTTCAGTTAGGTGCATTCGAGAACCATAATATGGTTAAAACTCTAAAAAAAAAAAATATTAGCAATATTAGTGCCTTGTATTGTCTAAACTGGCAGTAGTGCTAATTGCCTTTAGCTCTGTTCTAATGATTTCTAAGTAGGCATGTTGGAAACAAAGCATTTCTTAGGCTCATGTTAGACTTATCTGGGCATACCATTGCCAAGTAATTCTATAGTTCTATAGTTGACTGGTATTATTATTTTATGTACCAAGGGGATATAATTGAGTTAATCTTAAAGTTCATTGAACTAATAGAGTTCCCATTTTTTCCTAGTAATTGGTGATAAGTTCTTTTTTTTGAATCAAAATGATGGAGATGCATTCATGCCTGTAAGAAAAAAAGTTTGTTGGAAAGAAGGTCATAAATCCAGCCAATGCATTTAATTTAAGTACTAACACATATTTAGTTAGGGGTTAACAAAATTCCATCACATTATCAAGAATAGGAGTATCTCTTTCATATGTAAGTCAATAAATTGCAAATTGAAACTTCGTTTAGTACTATGACATTCCTGTTTTCAATCTGAATTAGACATTTCTAGATCTAAGTCTTATAAAAAAGAACTAATATTATTCATAGTTAGTTTGATCAATAATGTGGCTGATGATGCTTCATCTCATTATGATTTTTCTTTGAATTTTGACATGGAAATAACTTGTAGTGGAACAACTATAACTTCTAAAATGTTTGATGCAATTCTCCATATGAGCTTTGTCTCAAAACCACGCATTAGGTTATTCTAACTCTTCTTATGTGTGCTGCATTTCATATCAGCTTTCTATTTATAATCTAAATGCACAAGCAGAGCAATAATAGAATTGCACATTTTTTTGTGTTTTGCCTTCTATGGCAGGGGGTTAAGATATTGGATGAGTCTCATGACCAAGACACAACCGACTTACACAAGTGTGTAGCTTTCGTTTGTGATGGCCAACACATCTTGGAGAAATCAAATGTAAGTACATAATGCTAAATCATAGGCATCACTTAAACCGTGAAAAGAATTTTGTTAGCGGTGATGGTTTAAACCAGGATTTAATTTCAATGCCCAGATTCCTTTAATTCTATATTTCAATAAAAAAACATTTGCGGGTATAAATGAACGTGTTGACCCACGAAATTGCTTTCTGTTCTTATAATGACGTAAAACTTATTGTCTTTAATATGAATTTGGAAACTGCATGAGCTTAACATTACACTAAATACAAGTTTCCCAGAAACCGTACCACCCCATCTTCTAAAGAATTAGTAATTTTGTCATCCCTAATTTTTGTTTTAATCTTCTGGGAAACCAGACCTATCAATAATCGGACCTTTGATGGATGATTATAATTTGGGGATCTATACTATAAGAGAAAATGATCAAAATGATCCCTCAACTCTTTATGAGTGATCAAAATGTCCCCCAACTCTTTTGGGAGATTAATTTGGTCCCTCAACTTTTTAAAATAAGACTTTTTTTATCCTAACATCTAATGTTAGAGTTAATGGTGTTATATATAAGGATATTTTGGTCATTTTTTAATTAAAATTTTATTAATTATAATTTTCAAGTAATTATAAATTTTAAAAAATTATTAGATGTTTCTCTCTCTCTCTCTCTCTCTCTCTCTCTCTCTCTCTCTCTTGCCTCATTAAATCACCTCCCACTAATTGCCTCAATCAACCCCTCATTAAGGAATGAATTCCCCCCCTTTCTACATTATTTGGGGATTCAAATTCAAAACCTAGCTCCTAAGACCTGTTCTAAATTGTTGTCCAGCAATTTCCCACTAAGAAACAGCTGTCCTGGAAACTCCGACCAGCCATAGTGCTGCCATATTTGCTCCTGTTTGCTGACCAGAAATCCCTCAAGTGCTGTCCAAGGCCTTTCTAACCTCAAAGGCTGCTGTCCAAAGTTGTTTTAGGGTCAAAATTGCTGGCCAGGCTTTCCTAGTGACCATCCAAACATCTTTGGTTGCTGTCCAGCCATCCTAGCAGATTTCCTACGGCTGTCTGGCTGTCCAGAGGGTCTCCGATTGCTGTCCAGGAGGTTCCCAAACCTAGTGTTGCTGCCCACTTCTTCCCCAGCACCAAAGTGACTACGCCGGAGCTCCATATTTGTCTTTCCCTTTGGAATATTAAACGTACAAATTTCCTTTAAGCAATTCATCCATGCAATTATGTTTCACATCACTATAATATCTTCATTTAGATGGGAAATTATTCAATAATGGTGCTTATATCATTAGTATAAAATTGTTGACATTGACTATCCTAGTCATGTTTGATTAGTGGCATAGTTTGTCAATGGCCATCACAACTCATTCTCAGATTTATCAGAACCATTCAATTTTTTTTTTAAGTGTCCTCTTCTATTCATTGCTGCCGACTTCTTTCTAATAGTGCCAGATCTCTTTTATGTTACCGGTCAGCTGTACTATTCCTTTTGAATCATTTCTAGTAATTTTATCTTTCTGCCTCAATGATGCACCTAATGCTCTTGGCTATAAATGCTGAAACCACGTAGTGTTTTGTTTACTGCATTATCTTCAATATTTGCAAAACCCATTTTTTCTTTTTATTTTTATTCTTTTATTGTATCATCTAGTTTCTGATCACATTCATCTTAACATTTTCATTAGTGTAGTACTCTAGTCTAGCAATTGATGACTATTTTTTATTTAACACTCAATGCAATATTATATGGCTGGTTTTTAATTTTCTAAATTTTATGTTTAATTCTAGATGATGTTTTCTTAGTGCTTTGTAGTAGTGAGATTGAATTTTAAATACTCAATTTTAATTTTAAACGTTATGTTTGTATCTCCATCCTTATTTTTTCCATTCATTAATGCAAGGTTCTCAAATATATCCATTTAAGTATCCTTGATCGTAGCATATTGTTGATTGTAGTTATCAAATTTGCATTTCATGTATTTAATATTCTATACAAATCTTAAGCTTCTTATTTTTTAAGAAAATAATATTATTTTAACTTAATTTAGAAGAGATTTTACTTATCAAATAGCAAATAACATATGTCAAAGTACATTACATCAAACTCTTTTATAAGCACTTTTTAATCAATACAAAGTAATATGGAATTGCTGTTAATCTTTGATATATCTTATTATAATTAGCAATTCTTTCGTTTATCTATGCTTATTTCAAGTAGTACTATTTACATTTTTAATAACTTAACCATAACTTTGACACATCTTTGCTTTTTAATATATAAAAAAACAATTTCTTAGTACTCGATCATATTTCTTTCTATAATCAATAAAACCATATTAAAGTCCAATTATTCTATATTAATATCTTAGCATAAAAATTGCCTTATTAGATCTTCCTCGCATAAAATATATTTATATTTTTGTATTGACAGTATTTACCAAATCCATCTCCTATTGTATCTTATTGATATGTCATTAAAAAACTATTTTGATCAAACATGAATCTCGATGCAAATATGACTCAACAACAACAACATCAAGCCGTTGTCCCACTACGTGGGGTCGGCTACATGGATCTTTTTTCTCCATTGTCCTATTAAAAGTCAAATATGACTCAAAAGCTTCAAAAATTAAATATGGGATCATTTGAACTCCAATTTTAGCAAATTTATAGTCAAATTGATCGTTTTAGTGGGATGAACCCAATGACACCAAGTTCAATCCAATCCAAGCCCAATGAGGCCAAATAGAAGGATCAAAGTCTATTTGAAAGCTTCATAGTATTAATTGGATGACCAAATGATAACTGAATCTGACATGTTTATAGTCAAATCGAGAGGCTCGATAAGACAAATCCAACAAACCCAAGACCGCCTAATTTTGACATCATTAAGGCACTTAAAATGCTTGATAAACGATATGTGATTGAGTGAGTTGATATAAGCCATCCGTTTCTGTTGGAATACTCTCAACTTTCCCTTGATCTTCTCTATATTTACTAGTCATGTTACTCCAAAAAAACTATAAATAAACTCTTTATTTTTCACCTGAGGGAGGGAGGAAGAAGAAAGAAGAAAACGTAGGAGCTCTCTTGTCGCCGACAGCCGTTGGATTTCTTCCCGGCCACGAGCTATCGCCGGATTTCTTCCCAACCACGGACCATCGCCAAACTTTTGCTCATTCGTTGGCTGCTGTCGGATTTCTTCCCACTACAAACTGTCGCCATAATTCTGCTCATTCACCATAAGATTTCATCCTGACCACCGACCGTCGCCAAAATTCCACCAGTTCGTTGGCCGCCACCAAATCTCTTCCTAACCATGGACTGCCTCTAAATTTATGCTTGTTCGTTAGCCGCCACCGGATCTCTTCTTGACCACCGACCGTCATTGGACTTCCGCCCATTTGTTGGCCACCATCGGATCCCTTCCCGACCACCAGCCATTGTCAAACTTCCACTGTTCGTCGGACGTCGATGGGTCTCTTTCGACCACCGTTGAATCTCTTCTCGACTGCCGTTGAATCTCTTTCCGACCACCGATTATCGTCAGACTTCTGCTCTTTTCGTTGGACATCATCGGATCTCCAAATATTGTTAGACCTCTGCTGAACATTTTTCTGACTGTTGTCACCAAATTTCCAACATCTATCATTCATTCAAGATCAAGGGTACCCTGTCTGAAGTTTTGCAAAATCTTCAACATATTGTATTTTCTTTGTCTTTGAGTTAGGGGACGGATCGGTCTTTGTAATTCATTCAAATAATAGTTGAATCATTTCAACTGGGCGAGGCCCCGTTGTTTTATCCCTTTTTAGGATTTTCCCCCTAAAGATTTTTGTATTACTTTGTCATCTTAATTGTTTGTTTCTGTGATGAATTTTCATGCATCGCTAAGACGTAAAATATTTCCACTCTATCGCCGCGGATTTCCCAGCCGGCAACATTTATGAACTAGTTGTATTTCTTATGGATTGAATTTTATGGTAATTGTCACAATTCTCATTTTCTTCTTAGTATTTAATATTTTTGTCAAAATTATACTTGAATTGTTTGATATCCTTTTAGCCTTTAAGATTTTTTTTAAAAAAAGATGCATCAACTTACGTATTCCAAATTTTATTGAGCGATAGGGTGATGACTAATAATCGCTAAGACATTTTTATGTGGTAGGAGAGCAAATTATTGAACAAATATTTTATAGGGCAGGATTGGATGACATGTATCATGAATAAAAAAAATTGCTAGACCTATAAGGTTAGTAGATGCACTTCAACTTCGATGTATGATGCCCTCATGGGAGAACCTTTTGTTAATTCCATGTTGCTAGGCTACTAATCCCAAGTAAAGATTGGCAATATCATGCTTATTTAAAGCATTCCATGTTGCTTTGAGTAAACTTGAAATTTTACAATATTGAATCAGATCGTGCGGGAGGCACCCACGCGTAGAAGCGTGGAGGTGGGCCATGGGTCGGAAGCGCGAGAGTAGTGCACGTGGAAGGCAGGTGGGAAACGACATACAAGAATATAGGATTGCGGTGGGCATACGAGTTGCGGAAGAGGGCGGCCTCGGGTTGGAACCGCGAGAAAGAGCACGCAGGCGAGGGATCGGAAGGGAGCACAAGAGTATCATGCGCGGGACGGTCGCGTGATTACGGGCCTAAGTCGAACAAGGGACGAATAGGTAGAATGATCTAAAGCCCTATGTGTTCATGACCTTATGCACGGAATCGCACAAGCGGATGGGACGAGGGTGTCACAGGCTGCGGGTGCGGGTTTGGATCAGGATTGAACTGCGTACAGAAGGTCGCGTGATTGTGCGTGAATGTGTACGGTAACAAGCCACACAGGCGCTAGGTCTGGGCTCTGGCAAGTAGGCTGTCAGCTCGCAGCGGGTGCATGTGTTCTGTCAGAGAGGAGCACGCGTGACATATTGCACGGGAGGGTTGGTGTGGTCGTGCATGGGCCAGAGGGTTGGGATGTGGATTGGAAGGCTGGAGTGCGCGGAGACTTTCACGTGGGCTAGGTCCCCTGTAGGTGTGCATACGGGCTGCAAGTGGATCCGTACGGGAGTTCATGCGAGCAACCAGGCGCGGAAGACGTGAGTTAGTGCTTGCGTGTGATGAATGATCACGAGAGACAAGTTGGTGTATTGTTGGAGTCCAGACCAGGCACGGGAGATGGGTTGGTGCCGTGTGGGAGCCGAAGCCTAGTGCGGGAGACAGGCTCATGAGATCAAAAAACAGGGTCATGCAGGTGAACTAGCAGGATAGGAAGCGGGGTTCACGTAGACGGGCTCACGTGGGATCAGAAGTGGAGCCAGGACGTTTTAGCAAGCACAGGTTTGAGGGAACAAATGGATGTGAAACAGACAACCGTCCGGTGGAGGCTTTTTCTTGGGCTGTTCTTTGTGAACAACAGGTGGAGGAGAAGAGTAAATTGGCAGGGAAAACTGTTTTTGGGCTGTTCTTTATGAACAAAATGTGTTTTCTCAGCATTGTAAAATTGGACAAAAATGGAGATTGTTAGTATTCGGTCCAATTTGTGATTAGTTTATTTTTATTGATTATAGTTTTAGTGAGCTGGTCTAGTCCCTTTGTAGGAATGGGTTTCTAAAAGGGGGTTTGTATTTGTTTCCTGGTAAGGGGAAAAGAATAAAGATTTGTTATATTTTCTCTTCAAAATCTTTGAGTCCTCTTCCTTCTCCCTCTCTCCTACGGTGAAGCTATTCAAGAAGCTTGTCTTTCTCCAAGAATTCACAACATTTTCTCAGTTACTCTTTTTGATGTACCAATCCTATATGTTTGTTTTTTTGCAAAATACAGGTGTAAGATTACATGTACTCTTAAATATTATCACATCTACTATTATTTAAGAGTATTGTGCTATGAAAACACATTTATATAGTTATCAAAAACCTCTTCATGTCAATCTTTAAATACTTCTAACATATTTTTGCTGCACCATTTTTCTGTTTTCAAGCTGAAATATAGTATTTATAACTTGTTAGATTTATTGCTAAGAATCACTTGCAAATATTTACACTCCAAATTTCAGCTTTGTATTCTTGTGCTGGGAGCGCTCGGGGGAAGATTCGATCATGAAATTGGCAACATTAATGTGCTTTATCGGTTCTCAAACATGCGCATTATTCTCTTGTCAGAAGATTGCTTGATTTATCTTCTCCCAAAAACTCATCGCCATGAGATCTACATAGAGCCGTCTGTGGAAGGCCCCCACTGTGGCCTTATCCCTGTTGGTGCACCATCAACAAGTACTACTACAACTGGTCTACAATGGAATCTATGTGAGTATCCACAGTTTTTTTTATAAAATAATTTGAAAACTCATCAAGATTAAAATTTGATCAGGATATTCTAATCCAAAATTTTTCATGATTGTTTGTCTCCAGCTAAAACAGGTATGCATTTTGGTGGATTAGTGAGCACATCTAACATTGTGCGCGAAGCGAAAATTACAGTTCATTCTGATGTAGATCTCTTATGGACAATTAGCATCAGGAAACCAAGCTAATTAAGGCTTCGTTTTGGACGGCGTTCTTACTGTTTCTTAAAGCAGCTTTGTAGTATAAAAGTTTTGGATTTTTAATTAAAAATTTGCTTTAAGAAGCAGTAAGAAAATCGTCCCAAACGAAACCTAATTAATGCTTCTATTGGTTGTTAATATCTTTGAAAATCATAGCTGATTGCATAGCATAATTCTTGCTTGTAAATGAGAATATTAAACATGAACAGTTAACGCAAAAATGTTGCTCGTGATTTGTGTAAGCTGTGCTTTCTCATTATTATGGATCCAATGCCATACTTAGCCTAATCCCTGTATGGGAGGAGAAATTATTTTGTGCGGAGATCGGATGTAGAACGTCATCCGGAGACCAATCAGAATGTGTCATGTCATCAGTATCGAGCAAGAGGTGATGTGACGTATTTTGATTGATCTCCGAATGACGTTCGGTGTCCGCACATAATAATTAGTCGTCTAGGAGAAATGTTTAGGAGCTGTGTGTAGGCCTATATATATTTTTCCACATCACTCTGCACTAATATCTATGGATATTGGATTTATAACAAAATTTCAATCATTCATTCAATTCAGTTTATTGTTTGGATTATTTATTAATAAATTAGAGTGATTTTGATTAAAAAAATCAATTTAAACAATTTATTTATTTATTTGGATAAGAATATAAAATAAATGATTAATGATGATCAACAGAATCTGGATCATAACACTATCCATGATATGATCAAATAAAATATGATTTTGTAATTGAAAAATAAAATCATACAAAACATTTAGCCATTTATTCCCGAATTAAAATTATATAAAAATGCTCTAAAACCATCATCTAATTGTTTAGGTGAGAGTGCATGGATTTTCTAGTTACCATTTTTAAATTATAGTATCAACTTCATCAAATTGTTTAAAATTTCGATCGATTGTAAGATCAAATGGTTTTTATAGAGTTGTATTATGAGCGTAAACATCTCAATCTTCTAGATCTAATAAGGTGAATTATCCTTGAGATAAGCTCTATTTTGAGTTGTCCCCTAAGAGCAGTACCTAAATTAGGTGGTTCATCCAACGAGAAGTTATTATGTGCGGAGGCTGGATGCAGCTTTACGTTCAAACTTGAATCTGGTGTAGCAACGTCAGTGGTACCGAGCTGCGGTACCGAGCCGCAGCACAAAGCATAGGGTGATGTGGCGCATTCTAGTTGGCCTCCGGACGGCGTTCGACATCCGGTCAAAATAATTAATCCCACCCACCGGCCTGACATGTCCAATTTATCTTTAAAGTGAACTTTGGTAATACTTACGTGTTGATTTTTGGCTAAGAAGTTCGAGCGTAATTCTCAATCGGGCTAAAAATGACTAATGAATGAGCAAACCCTGGCTTGATTCAGCCCAATCTAAACTTTGAAATTTTGAATTTATTTTATTATTTGTCTTCTTCACTTCGAGGCATTTGATTAAATACGTCTAATGCCACTTTACTTGAAATCCGAAAACTATCACAGTAATATAAGTGCTTGCGAGCCAAAAGTAACTTGTGGCGACGCTAAGAAGCGATTATGCCACTTTAAACTTCTTTCGAAATCCATCAATTCAAACTTTCATAATTAATCACTAATGGAAATAATTAATCTAATTATTAAAATAATAATCTTAATACAAAAATTAGTGAACAAGTGTATGAGATAATATTCATATTATGAATAAATTAATAGTTGATATCTCTTAAAAAAAATTGGCATATGAGGCATGTATCGCGAGGCAAAATGTAAAGTGAAATATTTTGGAATTAAATTTAAGATCATATGAACTCTGAATTTGATAAATTTATAGTTGAATTGAATGTCTTGACAAAATGAACCCAAAAGTGGTCCAATCTGAGCATAAATGAGATCAAATCAAGGCATTGAAGCATAATTGGAAACTTCATACATTAATTGGATGACCAAATGATCTCCAAAATTGGCATGCTTATAGGAAAATCAAGCGGCTCAACGATATGAATTCAACGAGCTCAATATCACTCAATTCTGACATCATAAATATACTTTATTCCAGAGTAAATGCTTTGTGATCCAATAAATAAATATAAATTGTACTATGTAGTTCTTTATATCACGATCAAATTTATCAAAATGCTCCTCTCAAAAAGTCTATAAATAGAGCATCATTCTCTACATAAAGAAGGCCTAAGAGTTGAGAGAGGGAGAGAGCTCCCTTTTGAGCTCTTGCCGCTATTGATGATCACCACCAGCAATCGTCGTCATCGTCTGCATACTTCTGCCAAGATCTAACCCTATTATTTTGTTTCAATTGTTTGCTATTTGGCACCATATTTTCATGGGAGAAATAAAACATTTTATCCTCAAAAGTCCTATTCTTCATCTACAAGAAATGAATGATATTAAAACCATGAAAATTTTATAACTAAAGTAATAAAAGCTACTCATGAAATTTTTTTATGATGATGATTTTTATATGATTTAATCCCAAACCAACCTACTTAGGATTCCCACTAAAAATTTATCATTACATGTCCAATTCCTTTACTCATTGCGTAGATGGAGAAACTTCCATAATTTATATACTTTCCAACTAAGATAAGTACAATTTGTGTCAAAATTATTACATCTGGTGAAAATATCGAGCAATACCGAGCATACCGAGTGTGCCGAGCGCGTTGTACCGAGCACGGTATCAAGCACTTTAGTGACATGACGTTTTGTTATTGGTTTCTGGATGCATTCGGTAACCTGACGGAATAATTACTCTATAATTTGTATATGATATGCTAGCTACTAACATGAGAAATACTATTCAACCAAAAGGTCTTTTAAACTTCGGAGATGACTAAAAAGATATCATCTAGCCATAAAATACAATACAATCTATAAGTACAGCATTGGGGTTAATACTATTAAAATCAACACATAAGATTGTCCCTAAAGAGTGCAAGAGTAAAGCCGCCGATAATATATCCTTAAGAAATTGGATGAATGCTTTTGTTCAAATAAAACAAAAACTTTAAAATGATTTTTCTATAAAGAATTTAATTAACTCATATATCTATTATATTTTGAAAGTAAAACATTAGGGGTAGTTGTAAGCTTCATAACAACATCCTTCAACACACTCCTAACAACTATAAATGAATCCCAAGGTGATTTGCAAAGTAAAAGTAAGAAATATAATCATGGATCATATGTTCAATCAATTCAAATAAATCTAAACTTAGTACTTAATTATGATCATGAATAGAAATGCATAAATGTAAGACAAATTTTTAACTAAATGTTGCATCAAATATTCTCACATAATGGGTATAAAATACATAGAAACAATTGTTCTAAATAGCTATGCCACAACATATATTACATTCAATCAACAATCATATGATTGATTATATATATATATATGATCCTATGATAAATTACTAATTTATAAAAACTTAAGAACATTTTCCTTTAAATGAAATTTAATATTAATATTCTACTTTTTTTTTACAAAGTAGTTATTGATTTATTTATAAAAATACTTATAATATGCCTTTTTTTTTACTTTTTTAAAAAATATTAACATGTTTTAATTAAGCATTTACCACCTTAAGATGACTTGGTAAATAAAACTCAACAATGAATAAGTGGAGACATAAATTGAGCTAAATTAGAGATTTTGATTCTTCAATTAAGCCTTGTTGTCTTGAACCTTTGCTCTTATCTTATAAGTAAGAAGTGATCTAAGTTGATTAGCAAAAATCATCATCATCTTTATGGTTTCTATAGAATATTTAACTTAAAAAAAAATATTTAGTACATTATTTTATAATAGCTCATAAAAATTATTATTATTAAAACAATAATGATATCCACCAACAAATCACTTAATTAGTCAGGGAATTGCTTAAATAATAGCAACATATGTTAGTTAATACACTTATCCAAATATTAAATGAGGGGGTGTTCCGCTAATCATAACTTACTAGCTTGCTTACAACATCACCCGTTAGACTACAATCAAACAAATGCAATCAATAAGCTCATTATTAGCCTACTAAAAAAAAAGGTCATCAAGAATCTAGGGATCAAGATCTTTGGATCGCATTCCATTCCAGAAGCATGCTAAACACAATGACAAACAACCACCAAAGAATTTCTAATTTCTCATTTTTATTGCTAAACAACAACTTTCTCAGTGACCTGCCACTTAATAATTTACACTCAGAAAATGCCCACGTTGGCTTTAGAGCAAGTGTCATATAGAATCCAAAATCAGAATTGGTGTGATGAACCAATTTCAACTCCTTTGAGGAAAGGCATGCAAGGCAAAAGCCACTTAACTCCTATTCCATCTAAACATATTTTACATTGAGAATTTTTTCTTATTAAAATAAAAGTTATTAGAAAGCATTTTGGCATGGTGAGCAGAGCACACACTTCTCATTAACCATCATATGTCTTTTCCTAAGCACATTAGCTATTTTAACCCAACCATAATGATCTTCCAAAATAGGAAATCATATTTAATAGCAAAACCTTTAAACTGAATTTACTTAAAACAAAGCCATGTAGGCAACATGTTGTGAATTGAAATAAGTCATTTTGTTAGAGAAAAAAAATTTCCCCATCCAAGTACAAGAGTTCACATAATCCTGAATATCGATGCTAGGAATTTGGTCGGCAATGTGATTAGGTATACTATTGGGGAGAATAGGGCCTTTGGTATAAAAAATGGAAAAACTCAAGAATCCTCATGCCAAATTTTTTTCACAAGAAATTGATCATTCAACTAGAGATCTTAGAAGAAGTAAAGCTATCAAGTGATAGAGACTTTTAGGTCAATAACGAGTCTTATATCAAGGGTTGTTTTATGCAAGCTCTTACAGAATGGAGAAGCAGAGCTGTTGGGTTTAATCCAGATGGGATCATAAACTTTTTGGAACCACTTATAAAGAGTGTTATAGGAGTTGAAGTATCTCCAAGTGGTTTTAGCCTTAGAAATAGAATGGAGATTATCAATAAAAGCAAGACCCAAGCTATAGGGATAACAAGAAATTTTGAAGGGAATATTTTAGAGCTTGGTGTTATAATAGAATAATAAGATGTTACAAACTTCTTTTTTTTTGGTGATTCAATTTCCTTTTTCATTTGTAACATTTTTTTTAGACAAATTTTATTCAATCTAATTTATTTTGTTAGCATGCATGGTTGCTCCTCCTTGATTTAGTCTTCGTTTGTGACGGTTTTTTTACTGCTTCTTAAATTAAATTTTAATACAAAATTAAAAAGTTGTTTTTAGAAGCAGTAAAAAAACTGTCCCAAATGAAGTCTTAGTATTTGCTTTCTAATGATATCACATGGGCTTCCATCTCCTACATTATTTTCTCAAGCATATTGATGAATCCAAATATTATATTGATTTGTCATATTAATCCTAATGGGAGTCTTCATTAGTCTTTTGTTTTATGGCGATTTTATTTTCAATTTTATAACATCCGTGAATTTTATAATATAATTTTAATTACTTTATAATAATCTCAGCCTCTCAGGCTCTCAATTAAAATAGAAAACAAAAAGGTGGTCATGCTAATAGCAAATTTGCTCTTCGGTTATTCTATTTTGTTATTGGAACCGCGTTCAAACCTCAAGGCCGCATTGGCAGAGAGCCAAAACTGTGTAAAACACCGAGCCCTAAATATCAGACCATCACAAAACGCGAGCATCCATTCAACATATCTTTTACCGGGGAGAGAGACAGAGAGGCATAAAAAAAAAAAAGAAAAGAAAAGAGAGGGAAAGAAGACCTCTTCAACTCTTTCTCTCTTCCCCCTCTTTTCTCTCTCCCCTTCGACCGTGGTCGACCGTGACGCACTTCGGACCCGAGAAAGCGAAAACTAGGGTTTTGTATTCGTGTACTTCGGTTCTCCCGCTCGTTTTACTACCCGAACTGTCCTCCTGCTTGACAGTGATTCGTCCCGGCAACTGTTTCTAGGGTTTCTGTACTCGATCCGCCATGGCGGCGGAGAAGCTTAGGGATTTGAGCAAACCGATCGACGTGTCCCTCCTCGACGCCACCGTCGCTGCCTTTTATGGCACGGGATCTAAGGAAGAGGTGGCCTTTCTCCCAACCTGCACTTCCTCTCAACTCTCCGTCTCTCTTTCTCTTGATTCCTTCTGCTCCTTGGTGCCTTGGTGTCTGGTTTCTTGTTCGGCTTGTTGTACCCGTTATTGTTTTGGGCGCCGTCAGGTTTAGGGTTTTTAGTTGAACCTACATTTGGTTTTTCTTTAATTTGACAGTGATTGCTCGATTTTCTTAACATGTGAATCGTTGATTATAATCGCTGCACTCTAGATATTTCTGCCTCTATAATATCGTTTATTGCCTTTTATTTAGTCGTGCTGGAATCCGTACTCAGGCAGAATTCTGTAGCTTTTTGCATGCATGGCACTATTTATCTCGTACTAGGGGCATTCCATCAGAAATTCTAGTTTTCTTCAGTTTAAGGCGCTTCTATGTTTTTTGTGCTGTTTGAAAGAATCTGAAAGCCGATGTTTCTGGATCGTATCATATTCATATTTTGGTGAATTCCTGTCCATTTCATTTTGCTGAGTCATTTCCTTAGTCTTATTGAGCCTGCAGCTATTGTCTAATGATTACCTTCCATTCTTTTCATTTGAATTGGGTCTGTTTGATATTTCCAACTATCATAAACTAATTTTCCATCACCATGTGATATTCTATATAGAGGGCAGCAGCAGACCATATACTGAGGGAGCTGCAGAACAACCAAGATATGTGGCTTCAAGTTGTTCACATCTTGCAGAATTCTCAAAATTTGAACACTAAGTTCTTTGCTCTTCAGGTTAGTCAAAAAGCTTACATTGTTTTGACTTGTATGTTTAATCTTTGCAGGATTCTTTTATAATATTTAAATGTTAGAATAAGATTTAATTCGATTCTATAAGATTTACCTGGAAAAGGAAAAGTTGTTAAACAAAACTATGCCTTTTTTATTAAAACAACTATGGGAAATATTCAAGGTTTTATCTTTACAACTTTAGTTTAGTTAGGTTTTTTATTCCCATCAAATTTTTATGGTCTAATTGATTTCTCAATTTCATGAGATAACATTGTAGCATGGCTTTCAAAAGCATGTTCTAATTTTAATTTGAATGACTTGTTTTTTCATTATGTTGTGATGCAAAACTGTTTATTAAAAAATAAAATTAAGTGGTTTAGGTGTGATTTTTTTGCCTGATTTAATTCTGAAAACTATCCGCATTAGCACTTTTTCAACTTACCATCATTTTAGAACTCTGGTTTAGATAAGGCTGTGTGCTCATGTAAATATATTTTGAACAAGCATTCCGATGTAATGATAGAATTTATCTTCTACTGGTGAAAATACTAGATTCATCAAGGACAAAAATTTGTTTGTTCTTCATGAAGCAATAAATCTGGTTCTTTGATGGCTTTTTGGCTTCTGTAATGTTGCTCTCCTTTAATTTATTGGTTCTCTTTAATCAGGAAAATGTCTCATGATTAATAAAATATATGTCCATCTTCATTCTCAAGATTGATAAATTTTTCTATAACTTCGACAAGATCATTGTAGTCAAGATATTATTTGAACAAAAGTTAATTTATTATTGATCAAAAAATAAAGTAGGTTCTTTGATGGTGCTACTTTACATCCATTAACTTTGGTCTCCATTAGTTTCCTTGATCTTTAATCAAGAGAATCTCTTTTAATAAATAAAATATTTGATCGTTTTCATATTCAAGTTCAATACTTTTTTTAACAATTTCCCTGACTGAAAATATTTTCAAAGCTAAATTTTCATGGCCCATATGATTTTCATTCCTTCTGAGTAATTAAATTTGTAAACCTTTAGATAGTCTATTATGAATATGTCCTATGTGGATGGTTTTTCTGTTTATTTTATCTTAACACTAATGAATTAATTCATCTTTAAAAAATGTAACTTCTTTTGCTTTTAAAGTTACCTCTCCTTTGAGTAGGGCTTTGGATAATATAATTGGATATTTGAGGGCGTTGTGATTGGAATCTTTGGGATATGAAAATATAACAAGACCATTTTACTTAGTATGGTCCGCCTATGAAATAATCCCTATTTGTTTAACATATGAGTGGCTCTTGTCTATTGATGGTCAATAGAAAGGGATATTTCTTTTGCATTGTGTTAGCTCCTTGGAATCATGCTGCCAATTATTTTCTTGATTCTTACCACTCCAGGACTGCTTTTTTACTGTTCATTGGAACTTTGTAACAACTTTATATGGATGTTTATTCCATATTTGACAAGCTTATTTTTCACCCTCTTGAAGGTATTAGAAGGTGTTATCAAGTATCGATGGAATGCCTTGCCAACTGAACAGCGAGATGGGATAAAAAACTACATATCTGATCTCATTGTCCAGGTGATAATTTTAGTTTTTTTTTTAATTATTTTCTTTTAGCATAAGTTTACTTTTTATGCTAACCTCTCGTACATCCTGTGATACTTGTTCTTTAACAGCTTTCAAGCAATGAGGCTTCTTATCGTAGGGAGAAACTATATGTTAACAAATTAAACATTATACTTGTTCAGGTAACCTCAAAATCGAAGTTTTGGTAACTAAACATTTTGACTACAGCTGTTTATCATGTTATTATGGTTTTAATGGTGCAATGCATTTTTTATTTAAGAGAATGTGTGTGCCACTTGTTGAACACGAGGTTATGAAAAATAACCTTAGCTAGCTTGGCCCATATACACTAAAGATAGAAATGCTGAAAATACAAATAAATTGAACTTTTTTCATTTGAGGGTTTTCAATTTGTAATTTTCCTCATTTTAAATGTGATTAGCAATGTTGCTTTATGTTGTTGATTTTAAAATTTGTTTCTATTTTATATTGAAATGACGATGGGAACAGCTTTCTTTGAGGGTCTGATTATAGAAAATAGGCCTAGTTTCTGGGCATGCATGATGAAGAATGAAAAGTAGATGGCACAACAATACAATGGGGAGAAAATTTTGTGAAGGAAGATGGTTTAACCAAAGCAAAATTGGCTAGATGTTCTAATAGAATGTTTACATGAATTAAAGTTGACAACACATCACACGCTTACTGTATTAATGGCGAGGACCAATACCTAAAGCTGGCTCCTTGAAATAAGGTCATTATGTGATGAATAGGGACATGTTTTTTACACAGTGCACTGTAGGAGTTACCATGGACTTTTCTCCCTCCATATAATTATAATTATTCTTTTATTATAGTTAATATGGCCATCTTTTCATTTAAATATCTGAAGTAGAATTTTAAGAGGACATAATGGAGAAAAAAAGGATTCATGCAGCCGTCCCCACGTAGTGGGATAAAGGCTTGATATTGTTGTTGTTGAGGTGTTGCTTTTAATGCTCTTTAGCTCCTTCCTTTTATTGTGTTTGTGAAAATATCAGGTTCTTAAACATGAGTGGCCAACTAGATGGCAGTCCTTTATTCCTGATCTGGTCACAGCTGCCAAAAGTAGTGAAACAATTTGTGAGAATTGCATGGTTATATTGAAGGTATTTTCCTCAGTCTCCTTTTAATCTATGATTGAAGTATGCTTAAAAAATAAAAAACTTACATGCCCAGCCATAATACAGCTTCTTAGTGAAGAGGTTTTTGATTTTTCGAGAGGGGAGATGACTCAGCAAAAAATTAAGGATCTCAAGCAGTCATTGAACAGGTGCAGCCTCTGATAATTGCCTATTACTTTTCTTTCTCTGAATTTCTCTACCGAGGAATGCCTGATAGTATGAATGAGTAGAAATTATTAACATGCATCCAAGGGGCATTTTTTTGTTTCAAGTGCATGAGTTATTCAAAATTTCTTTTTAGCAGTTTAAATTTTAACTCGATTCCTTCTATTGATTTTATTTGTAAAGATGTAAAGACTATTAATGCTTTAATAGGACTTTTTCCTTTTCACGGCACTTAAATGAATTTCATCAATTCCAAATTATAATTTGTAAACTTGGCGACTTTATCTCCTCTATAATTTACAAGACTGGAAATGTATAGCCTGCCATGGTCTAGTGGAAGTTCTCACGAATTTTGCTAAATGTTGTGCAAATCAAGTGTTCCCAGACAAATGTGGCTAATTTCAGCTTTACTTCCTTCAGTGAGGTTCTTATATGAAGATCTATCAGCTAAGACACATTTTAAGTTAAGGCTTTAATCAAGCCTTGCTGCACTGTGTTTGAACATTTTATTAAGTTTTTTAAAGTAGCAATTAATACCCAATGTGAAATCTTTTATTCCCTTAGTTAGCTGTGATATAGAAATGCCAAAAATCTGTCTTGGCAAATTGAATCAAGCATTTAATGCATAGAAGAGTTAAAGCCCAGATAACAGGATCCCAGGTGAATGCAACTTAAAGTTAAATAGTGTCCCAGAGGTTGATGACCTTAAAGCACCAGAAAGATTCGGCCAAACAGGGGACATTTCAATTTTGTTTATATGAATTAATCATTATTCATGATCTTTATGCATCACCTCTATCTTTCCGTGTCAATGCCGTTCTGTTGAATTTGTGTTGCAATGGTGCTTTATATGTTTTGTAATTCCAAATAACTGACGGCATATTGAATCTTACTAATAATGCACATTGAGCACCTTATTTGTATTGTTTCTACAACTGAAGCATGTTCTTAAGATGGTTTTGGTAGTCATACGTGGTCAGTCGTTGCATAGAGGTTGGCATGTGCATACATTCTGTATGTATGTAAATATCATTGGCTGATGATTTAGGTATTTATTAATGTATGATTGTATGTACATGCAAATAAGCATTGATTTGTGTCATTACATGTGTCCGCTCCATCTTTTTTTATGCCAGCTTGCTGGTACCGGAAGGCAGGTGAACATATTGATACAAACAGTAACACATGCATGTGCCCAGAGAATCGAAACAGCTAAAAGCTAGAAACATCCTCACTAATATCTGAAATATACCCAAGCGTTCTTCTTGATATAAATAAACGCTTTCTTATGCTTTAAATTAATGTTGATTTAGTCTTCTTTGATTACTGCTATTTCTCTTGATTAATGTCTGCACTTCATCATAAGGTGATGTTTTCAGCATGTCAGTTCCAATATGAAAAGGCCTGTAAATGTCTAAAGCTTAGTTTTCTAACTCACATCTATTACCTTTGTGGTTCATTAACTTAAACAATTATTCTTTTGCATTATTACTTATGCTGATAAAATTTAGTTGATGTATCGCTTCTCTGCATGAATATGAGCATTCAGCGCATTCATTTTTTCTATTTTTTTATCCATCAGTTCCAACCTCACTTACTTGTCTTATGATTTTTTTTTGGTTATTTACAGATCAATTATATTTCTAAAACTTTTCGCTTGTTTTGTGAACAGTGAGTTTCAACTTATTCATGAATTATGCCTATATGTGCTGTCGGCATCTCAAAGGCCAGAGCTTATACGAGCTACCTTATCAACACTCCATGCTTTTCTATCTTGGATACCTCTGGGTTATATTTTTGAATCTCCATTGGTGTGTTTTTATGGCCTTTATTTTTTTCTTAAACTAGAATTATATTTATGCATTCTGAAAACAAAGCTCATCATTTTCCTGCTGATGATTTTGTCATAGCTGGAGACATTGTTGAAATTCTTTCCGGCTTCTTCATATAGAAATCTTACACTACAGTGTTTAACAGAGGTACATTTTCACTTTTGTTTCAATGAGACTTTAGGTATCTTCTATTGAATTTAGCAGATGAACGTCATGGGATCATGTGATCCTTGATTTTTTTTGAAGATTTGTCCTATGCACCCTAATATATGCATACATTTATGGAGAGTTACACTTTCATATCCATAAATTTTACTTGCACCTTTTTTTAAAGATCTCTTATTAGTTTATGATGAAATTTGCAGGTTGCTGCGCTTCAGTTTGGTGAGTTTTATGACATTCAGTATGTCAAGATGTATACAATTTTCATGGTGCAGTTACAGGTGTGGTGATTGCATCATTTTTTATTTTTATTTTATTTTTGGCAAAATATTGGTTCTGTTGCCAACTTTATTATTTTTTCTTCCTGTTCTATGCTGATGCCATTTTTATTTTCAGTCTATTCTCCCACCTGGAACAAATATTCCAGAAGCTTATGCTAATGGTTCTAGTGAAGATCAGGTAAAGCTTTCTTGAATGAAATTAAAGTGCTGCTCTTTTTCTCCTTTGTGAATTTTATCTTCTTAATTAGTATATTGTTTTTAACATATTATTTTTCTTATTATTGTCCTTTGTGTTCTTGTTCTATATTCGTAATTTTATATTGATCTGTTTTGCCCATTTCAGGCATTTATCCTAAACCTTGCTTTGTTGTTCACTTCATTTTTTAAGGTAATTCCATTCTATCACTAAAATTTCCTTAACAGTACAATTATTACCCAGTTTATTACTTATAATCTAATGAGATTGATTTTTATGATAGATATTTATTAGCTTGAGTAAATGACCAAATCAATTCCCGACTTTTTAGTTGTGTTTATTTTAATTCCAAACTTTTTTCTGGTATTCAATTTGGTCATTCAACTCACGTCCAACCATCAACAATCATTTCTTTGTAAAAAATTGGTGGGGAGAAGTTTTTCACCTTGGGCTTTTTAGAGTTTTTAGAGTCGATCTCTTTGGTTTGAGCCGGCAACAAGTAGTGACATTGACCATAAAAGTCTAAAATGAACTCATAGAACAAAGTTGATGGTGTGATGTAGGCAGGGGGGGTCAAAACAAGGTGAAAATTTGTTTTTTGACTTCTCTAGCTCATTAATATTTTGAGCTAAAAGTTAGCTCATTATGAGCAGTTTTTAGTTCATTTATTGAACTAAAAATTAGCTCATTATTTCTTGGACTTGTCTTTTCTCCTTCCTCCCCCCCCTTTTCTTCTCATTTCTCTGTGCTGGCTGTTTTTCGTGTTCTGTCCCTTGGGTTTTCGAGTATGGCTATTGGTTTCCTGTGCTCTGTCCCTTGGATTTCTGTGACTGGTTGTTGATTTCCCTGTGTTGGGAGAAATTCCGTGCCTTTGCCCCCTTGGTTTCGTGGTTGGCTGCTGGTTTCCTGTGCTGGGAAGAATTTGATACGCCTTAGGTTTAGACAATTTCGGTTTTGCCCTAGTTTTCCCCCAAAAAGAGGAATTTCTCCACCAAAACCAAAGAAGAACAATCACAAGAGGGTTGAGATGAGAAGGTAAAACCTTTGCATAAGAAAACCAAGAGAAAATAAGATAAGTTTGTCCACTTCGAGAAGGACAAGATCTCCCACAAGAAAACCCTAGAAAAGAGCAAGAAGGAGGCTAAGGAGAAAATAAGAGAGAATACACTTTTCATAATGCCAAAAACTAAACCCTAAAGGCTCCCTTCATACCCATTCAAAAATCCCCTCCCATCCCCAAAATACCCTCACTTAAGTGGGGGGTCCCTCTTTCAGCCAATCCCCCCCCCCCCCCCCCCCTTCTTGGTTAGCTTGGGCCAGTTCTATAGGGCTTAACATAACAATCGGACTGTCCGTCTTGTCCTGTGGGTGGTATGCTGTAATCCGCTTCAAAGAATGTGCCCTGCATCTTGAAGATTCTTTCCAAAATGAAACTTAAGAAGACTTTGTCCCTATCGAGACAATAGAAGTGGGGACCCATGCAATCGAAAACACTCTCTGATGAAAGTAGATGCCACAGTAGGAGTGAAAAAGGATGCCATAGTGAATGAAATGGCTATACTTGCTCAGACGGTCAACTACCACCATGATGACGTATATCCTTCCGACTTTGGGTAACCCCTCAATGAAATCCATGGTGACTTCTCCCAAATCTTGTTTGGAAGCACCAAGGGCTGCAACAAACATAGGGGCACAAGCTTGATACTTGTTCAGTTGAAAACTATCACATTTGCTTACAATGTCTTCGACATCTCCTCTTAACCCTTTTCCAAAAGAATTCGGCTTTCACCCGCCGATATGTTTTCTCCACCCCGAATGTCCACCAATACAGCTATCGTGGTACTACCCGTAGAAGAACGGGGACAAATGCTGAGTACAGGTGTAGTACTCACTCCCTTTGTATAATAAAACAGAGTTTTCTCTAGGTGATACCCTTTGCCTCCTCCCTTCTGAGATAGCCGCCCGGAAAATTATCTCTTCTAAACTCTCTGGTATGTTGATTTTCCTTCACCATTTCCCCCCAATCAACCAATCGTGGCACAGATAGTGCCATCAGCTGTGAGCACTCCACACGGGAAAGAGCATCTGCCGCCTTGTTTTGAGCTCCGGGCTTTATAACTGAATCTCAAACTCCGTATCCCAAGAGCTTTGCTAGCCACTCTGATGTTTCCTCCGCCACAAACCTCTGCTCTAGTAAGTACTTCGTAGCGCTCCTTGATCAGTACGAAACATATGAATCGTTGCCCCAATAGATAGGCCGCATTTTGAATGGCCACACAAATGGCCATCAGTTCCCGCTCATAAACTGACTTCAACTGGCTCTAGGTGATAGAATCTGCTCGAAGAAAGCAATACGCTACTATGATCTGCCTGAGCCCTGCTCCCAAGCCCTCCTGAAGCGTCAGTCTCAACCACAAATTGCTGGGTGAAATCTGGAAGAGCCAAAACTGGGGCACTGGTCATGGCTTCTTCAGAGTCTTCATGGCTTCTCTGCTTCTCTCCCCACTGGAAGTTGTCCTTCTTAATAGCTATACAGTCAAAGTGGCCTGCTAATGAAACATAGCCCTTGTAAACATTCTCTGTTAGTAGCCAGTAAGTCCAAAATTCCGGGGTAGGCCTTTAAGGGATTTTGGTGTATGGCCCTTCACCATGGCCTCGTATCATTGGTGGGGTCAAGCCGCCACAACCTCACTCCCTGAAATGATGTGTTCCCAGATATCCACTCCTATCTGAGCGAAAGAAACACACTTTTCTGGTTTGGCATATAGCTGATGCTCCGATAAGGGTCGTGGTACCACCAGATAGGGTGATATGGGTCTGCAGAGATTGCCATACACCATATTATCATAAAAAAAAACTAAGAACAAAAACCTCCTCAATAGGGCGGAAGGACCTAGATTCATCAGGGCCTTGGAAGTGGTGGGAGCGTTAGTAGAGCCGATGACATATAAGAAACTCTATTAATGACCCTCAATGTGTTCGGAATGCCGTTTCTAACGTCTTCAGTCTTCATCCTAATCTTGGTGATAACCAGATTAGGTCCAACCTTGGAGAAGATGGTGGCTTTTCCAGCTCATCCAAAAGCTTCATCTACCACCGGAATAGGAAATTTGTCAACACAGTCTTTTGATTAAAGGGCCGATAGTCCACACAAAATGCAACACTACTCTTTCTTTTTACCAAGAGTACATGACTGGAAATGGGCTCACACGGGTCCTGGATTCACCTAAGCCTCCAATCATCCTATGCTACTACCCTCAATTCCTCCTTCTGAGCTAGAGGATATCTGTGGGTCGCACGCTGAATAGGGTGCTACCCCCAGTCTTCGAACACATAGCATGCTCCTCTGGATCTGATAGGAGGTAGCCCTTTGGGCTCTGAAACAATGGAGTGGATGTTGTAGAAGATCCTGGACCACCTCAGGTAAGACTTTGGCTCTCTTTCTACCTCAATGCCCACCTGCTGTAGCTCTATCACATCGCTCCTCCATCATCTCTCAAAGTCTTGAAGATGGAACTTCAGGCACGTGGATCTGCATACAACGGGGTCTTCCCTGTTAGTGTCATCTCTGTGCTGCTCCTTCCATAACTCATGTATAATTTTTTCCAATTCCCCTTCATCTCCCCACGGAACTGGAGCACTGCAATCCAATATCACGTCAGTGCTTCCCAAATCCAGCGTAGGAAGTTTGCACTGCTCCTCTCCTTGCAATGTAAGGGTCACTCCTTACACTGTCAACGAATACACCGCGCTCATTCTTTCCGTGCCAATATGATGCCGCACTTCATTCCCTGTGTCACTGGTAGCCCCACCTCTCATCCAATCTGAAGCAATGAAGTTGTGGGTGGCCCTATCAATCCCAGAAACCTCACCTTGTACCCGCAATCTCCTTCCAGCTTCATGGTGGATTGAGTGTGATGTCAGCCTAGTATTGAGATTGAGTGAAACCTCCACCTATAGCAAATAGGGCGCTCCTCTCATTCTCCTCCTCTCAGTTGCCCTGTATCCTCTTCTCCTCTCAGAATCCCACTATGATCACATGTGTGTTCTTCTCTTACAACCTATGCCGGGTGTAAAGCTTCTCATCAAATCGGTAGCAAAGGCCCTTGGCCCTTTTCTCTTTCAGCTCTTGAATCAGTTATATCTCTTGAACCCCTTGTTCATCTGCCCGTAGTGTTTTTCTCCCTTGGTTATCTCCTCAGGAGGAAGGATGGTGGTCGCCCTTGGGCCGCCAATCAATGAGTGGTGGTTCGGTAAGTGGGGTAGGAACACCCCTATCTCCTCGGTGGCTCCCTTCAGCTTGTCCTCCTAAGCCAAAGCTGTGCAGTCTCCATGATCTTCATCACTAACCCTTGTGGAGTAACGACCCTGAAGGCTGCTCTAAATGTGGGGCTTCAACCACTTCATAAATCTCCTCACTCCAAAGAATCCACCTGGAATCCCTCAGCAATCTGCCTGATAAGTAGTTCAAAGTGCTCTCTATATCTGCCACTGTGCCTCCTGCATAGAGCCAACCACTGCTCATAATGTGTACCCTCAGCTGGCCCTGAATTATGAATAGGCAGGTCTTTGAATCTCCAACCTAAAGTGTTTTGTCTTCCTTCAAGCCATTGAACAGCCAATGCTTTCCCTTCCAACATGGAATGCCATCCATTTCCTCTTGCTGTGAATACCATTCATGGAAAGATAGCGACTCCACACCTGTAAAGATCCATCTAATGCATCTTCCTCAAAAAGAATCTTCAATTCCTGATGCGGTTGTCAGCTCGTGGAAAGGTTTCTTCACATCTCCCACCTGTCCCCCTGAGTAAATCCTCCCTTGTGGTCTTCCCATCCTCTCCACCGGGTAAGGGATTTTGAACCCCTAAATGGTGGTTCCTTGGTCTCCATAGCCATGCATAAGTTTCCTTCTTCCTCCTGCTCCCGACGTGGCACGTTTCCTTCCGGAACCCCCCTATTGATTCGGTCACCCTTCACGTGTGCGTGGGGCCA